AGGAGCCTCCGGGCGGAGGCGCTGGGGGTGAGAGGCGCGGCGGGAGGGCGGGCCGCCGCAGTGGGGACACCGCGCGCCCAGCGGAGGGAAGGCACTTAGGAAAAGGCCTGGTTCCCGTCGCCCCGCAGCGCCTCAGACTCGGGCTGTTCTTCGAGGTCTCCCACAAAGTCCCGGGGCGTCCTCCAGGCCCGGGGTGTCACGGACCAGCGGCTGAGCCGGACCCGTCTCCGCAGCCTCCGGCCTGCAGGGGTCAGCCCACCCCTCCGGGGCCCCGCGGCCCGAGGGCGGCGAGCAGACGGAGCCCTTGCCGCCCGCCGGGCCAGGGTTGGGGGGGGGGGGTCCAGGCGCCCGCGTCATCCCCCAGCGGCCGATGCGCCTTTGTCTCGGGGGCCTTCCCTGAGCGGGGAGCGTGGCGCCGCCTCCGGTATTGCGGGGCGTCCAGGTGGCGCGGGCGCTGGCCTCACACTTCGCGGCGGAAAACCGGCAACTCGGTCTCAACAGAGACAGACACCGAAGGGCAGCCACTCCGACCTACAGGCTCGGGATCCACGCGGCTCCGGGGTCCGGGGCCTGCAGCCACCTCGAGTCGAATCACACCGGAATCTTCGGCGCCTCCATGTGCCCGCCTCGCAGAGAGGCTTGTGGTCTCCCCAGTGTGTTTCCCGCGCGGCCCCAGGCCTAAGCACCGCTCCTACTTTCCTGGTAATGGCGGGGAGGATGGGCAGGGGCTCCGGTCGGTCCGGAACCTAAATCCCGGGGGTTTGCTTTGTTCGCAGAGCGAGGCTGGCTGTCCCCGCTCTGCTCTGGGTCTGAGCCATCGGCCGCGCCGGTTTCCGGCTGCGTTAGTATCCACAGGACCCGCGCCGCCGGGGCCACCTTCGGCCCGCTGCACAGTGGCTTAATACCCTCGCTGCGTTTATGCAGATCCGAGTGGAAAGAACGGAGTGGATGATCAGGGCCAAATACACAATTTATGTGGATGGTATAAGCTTACAAACACACAACAGCGGGATTATTTTCTATCTGAATTATCCAGATAAGTCTCCCCTTTTCTTGCTCCGGAAGACACAGGATGCTTTGTCTGAAAGTCAGTGGAATAAATTGTAGTTTGAGGCCTTAAACCAGACAAATAGTTGCAAAATAGATGCAATCTTTGCCCAGATCAAGAGCTCAAGCGGTGTGCCCTAAATATTTGAGTTGTGTCTCAACCATGACCTTCTCTTTGGCCAGGAGACCCAAGGACTTGTTTTTCAGCCATTGGGAGGAGATTGTAGTGTCTTTCCTTCACAGACAGCTCCCCCAGTTATTGAGTTGGCGGGGAGAGGGGGGCCTGCATAGACACCACCCAACAAGATCTATTCTCTCTCAGATCTGCAGTTTCGCAGAATAAATCGAAGGAATAAATTAAGGGCCAGTTATTCCCTGCCTCCCTAAATTCCTTCCTTCCTTTTTAGCCAGAAATGTCTTCACTGTTAACTTCCTGTGTAGATGTGTCCCTGGATTCACTGGGATCCAGATCCTCCTCCCCGCTTTATGCAGATCCAGGCACAGCCACCCAGTCCCTCCCCCAGCTCATGGCTGCCAGGCGCTATCTTGCTCCCAGCCTTGCCCCCACTCTGTAGGGCCTTTGTGTGAGTACCCTCAAAGCTTGGGATCATCTTCTTCCTGCCTGAACCCCTCAGCTATACAAGACAGCTGGGATTAGGGGCAAAGGGAGATGAGGTTTGGTTTAAATTTACCAGTTTTACTAGTTGCAGGAGAAAGGAAAGGAAGAGCGACAAAGTTTTCAGGGCAGAAGGCGTGGTTTGCAGGCTGGGCTTGGGTGGGGGCGCCTGCTATTCCGGAGAGGGCCCTGGAGGGTGGAGGGGGAATTTGGAGGAGACTCTATGATTGGAGCCAGGCTGTGAAAAAGAGAAACTCAGATCAGAGGCTCAAGGGCAGAGGCATAGGGAGGGCATTCCACCTACAAGGAAGGGGTGAGGTGGCGGGGCAAAGGGCTCATGCACTCAGCTGGGACCCAGACTCTGGCCTGGACCTGGGCCTCTCTCTGGCATGGCCCAGAGGAGGTCACTGGCCAACAGAGATGAAGCCTATTTCTCCAGCTTCAAGTGGTCTTTAGTCCCCTGCCCAGTCTTCTTGCAGTGCACAGCATATGCTCCCAGAGCAAGGCCATGGAGTCAGGGCCTTGGGGTTGAAGTGCAGACCCACCAAACCCTGCCCCAGATCCCACTCTCATCATCCCAGCTCCAACCTGTTTGCACCCCTACCCTGGTTTTGCTTTGTGAAGATCCTGCAGCTCAGACTTTCTTTTCCCAGCCCTGCAGGTAGGTAGTCTCAGCCTCCTCCAAGCTGTTCACATTATTTTTACAGCCCACAACTTCTCAGATATTCCTCTCCTCCTCCCCTCTCTATGGTCCCCCAATTTTCTCTCTGCCAGTAATTGCTTAGGAATGGAGATGGCAGCTCATCAACAGATCTTGATTGCCCATACATTTTTGTTGCCCCTGAAACTGCTCTTCCTTTATTATTATAATTATTATTTTTATTATTCACCTGAGCTGGAGAAAATAAAGTGGAAAACAGCTAGGAGGCTGAGGACCCCATTCTTTCCGGGCAGAGGAGACAATGTGGGGGGAACCAGTTTAATTTTTTTTTCTAAAAAAAAAATCACATCATCATACAGTCATGTTTTAATTAGTATTATTAATATTAATATGATGAAGTAACTCTGTACAAGGACTATATAAAGGGGAAAACGTGCTAAAGACAGCTGGTTGAATAGGAGGGCGCACTACAGAGAGCTGGGGAGGGAGAGGTGGGAGGCCTTCTACCCACAGGGACTACACAAGGTACTAGCAACAGACACAGAGAACAGGACACAGATTGACAGAGAAGTTCACAGAAGTCAAGTTTAAAGCAACAGGAAGAGAATATTGCATATCTTTGTCCCTCCACCCTTTGGGAGTCTTCTGGTCTCTCTTCTTTCTCTGTTAGGCCGTGGGAGTCAGGCTGGAGTGGTGCAGATGGATTCCAGCACCCCCAGACCTTGAGGTCACAGGAGGGGCTGCATCAAGAGGTACATGGGTGACCAGGCAAAGGGGAGAGTGCTTCAGACCCAGCACCGGCAGACGGCTGGAATGGCAGTGATTGCTGCAAACGTGCACATCAGTGGAACAAGTTTATGTGGCTGGGAAGTGTGTCAGGTGCCCAGTGGAGGGTGGGAGCATGTGATTATATGGCCACTCTACAGGGTTGTATCTGGGGATATGAAGCTGCCTGCTTGCATGTACAGTCAGGAGAGTGGGTTGGGCCCACTGGTGTGCCGGGCTCAGCTGTCCCTAGGAGTTTGCCTCTGCACAATCCTGTATAGGGACTTGAAGCTGTGTGCTGGTGGGAGAATGGGGGGCGGGGGGACTTTATGGATTACCTTTCAAGGGTGTATTAGGGAAGACTCTTCCCAGGCAGGAAGAACTCCCAGCTAGCAGGCCAGTTCCACACTTCCCAAGCTGAGTTGAACTCCCATCAGTCCCTTGTTCTTGGCAAGGGTGGGTGGATGGGAGGATGGGGGACTCTCACCCAAAGGGATTAAAAAAAAAGCATATGGGAAGGCAGGCAAGTTCCTTCACTACTTCTCTCTCCTAAGCCAGGCTGGCGGGTAGGGCTAGGGGGTGGGCTGGGGTCTGATAGGGGCTGTGAATGAAAGGCCCTCCGCTGGAGAAGCCACTCTCTGGCCTCCAACAGGTCCTGGAGATGTGCTCCTCCCTCTGCTCTGGTCCTTGTACTCCGAGGCTTGAAGCCCAGAGGCAGAGGCAGTGGATCCTGAGACAAAGGGCCAAATTGGGGAGAGGGTGGAGTGGGAGACAGAAAGGAGTTGGGTGGGAGGCTGCAGTGCCTCCTCCTTCATTGTCACCAGCCTGGGAAACCCGGACTGAGCAGGGCCACTGTGGCCAGTAGCCCCTCTAGGGGCGGATTCTCCTCCTGCCTCGTAAATTATGCCAGTCCAGCCTCTAGCCGGCCGTGACCATGAACGCCAGCGGGAAAGGGAGAATTAGCTCCGGCAGCCAGAAACTCTTCCGCCCGCCAATCAATGCCATGCTCGCAGCCCCTTTCACAGCCTCTTGGGTTTCCCGGAGGGCCAGGTGGGGGTCCCTAGAGTGGCTATTGAACCTGAGGCTGCATTTCCTTAGCCCTCAATTCCCGGCTTGCCGGGCTTGCGGTTCTGGTCCGCAGCTACCTAGGGGGCAGGAAGAGGATGGCAGCACACCCTCGAGCAAAGGGGCTGGCAGAAGGCTTGGCAGAGGGCTGGGGATCAGGAGATGCTTGGACAGCCTGCCCTACAGAGGACATAAGGCTGTGATCGCCTTGTCTGCAGCCAGGTCTGCCAACCGTTCATGCTTCTGCCTGCTCTGCCATCCAGGCTGGGAGGACCCAGACACTCTGGAAATGGGCATTGCTGACCATTCTGTCCTCCCAAACCGCACTTCCTCCTGGATTCCCCCACTTCCTCCTGCCCTCCCAGAGCTACCCTGTCCCCTGCTACTCTCTCTGATGCCCTCCACTCTTGCTCCTCCTGTCAGCGGCTCCTCATCCCAGCAGCGAATTCTGGGAGACTTTGTTCCACTGTCCCCACCCTTGCCTACTCCTGCAGGCAGACTTCAGATCACAGAAGGGAAGTGGTGGGAGCAGGCGCCCGGGTCCTCAGCCTCAGTCTGCCTCAAACCAACCCTTCCCTGGTGCCTCAGCTTGCCCTGTCTCTATCCCTGGCAGCTGTGGGCTTTCTGTCTCCCTGGCTGGGTTCTTCCCTTCTCCCTGGGGCCTGGCAGGACCTGCTGGGGGTGTGTGAGAGGGAAACACGAAGAAAACAGACAAGAGGATGTCCAGAGAGGGCCTGCCAGAGACTTCTGGCATCCTAAGCGGGGAGCCTGTGTCCCAGGCAGCGCCCCCTCTTGCTCTCTGCCAGAGACGGGCTCAGTCTGGGGCTGGCTCCCTTGTCTTGCCCCCTAAAAGAAAGAGAGAGCTTGCTCCCTCAACAGAAGTCTTTTCTTTTTCATTCTCCGGTTCTGAAACCAGATCTTGACCTGCTGGTCACTAAGATTCAAGCGGTCTGAGAGTTCCCTCCGGCGCTGCCGTGTGATGAACTCGTTCACGAGAAATTCGCCCTCCAGCTCCGCCAGCTGCAACTTCGAATAGGGCTTGCGCTTCTTCCGCGAGCGGCTGTGGATCGGGTACCAGGGCGTGCCTGGGTGGAGATGAACCAGGAGCGAGGGTTGGCCAGAAGACCCAGAGGTGACAGGCGCAGAGCCCTTGCTCCTTCCCGAGTCCTCCTCACCTTGGCCTCACGCCCAACCCCAGGCCCTTCCTCTCCTGACTCCTCTCTTCTACGCAGACCCCACCCCTACCAACCCCAGTCCTTCCTCCTCCTCCTTTTCCTCCTTCACTTCTTTTCCTTGCTTCCCCAACTCTACCTACCACTGCAGTATCCCTCACCCTTCCATGTTCCTCTTCCCTCCCTTCTCCCCAGACCTCTTCTCCAGGGTTTCCTGGACCCTTCCTCTCACACCTTCCGGGATGGGGGTCCCTGATCAGCTAGAACAGACATGAGCGAGTGGCGAGAGTTAAACGTCTCCGCTGGCGAAAACATGCAGGTAATGGAGGCTGTGGGGAAGCGGAGCTAGAGGCTCTGGAGGAGCAGGGACCAAGCTCTGGGCCTCACCTTCCCACCCCGCAGGCCTGGGGAAGGCTCGGTCCAGAATTTCCCTTCTCCCGAGCTCCCTGCCCCCTCCAGCCGCGGGCTGATGCAGAAGGGAATCTCTTCAGTTCTTTTATGGGGATATTTACATGTTTATAGGGCTCCCCAACCCCCACTTCTTTTTAAAAGAAGTGCTTCCTCGCCACACATTCTGTCACCCCAGGCGGCCCCAGCTCGGTCCTGCCCGGCCCGCCCCG